CGAGGGTGGCCCGCGGCGCCCTCTCTGGGGACTGCCCCTGGCCACCGCCCACACACTTCCCTACCACACCTCGCCCACTGCCCTGAGAGTGGCCCTGTGCCTGCCGGGCACCTTCCTCCCCAGGCTGGCTCCCCTCCTGAGGAGTCACGCTGCCAACGCTGGCCAAGCGCCCTGCCAACAGTTTTTGTGTCACATATGCTCCCCCCTTGAGAGGCAGCTGGGCGATCAAGGGGACCTGTGAGCATCTGATCATTTTTCACCTCTTACAACTGTTTTAATTTCCTTCCTCCACCTCCTCCAAAAACAAGTCACCCTGCCTCTGGATCGAGAGGCCATCAGGGCTTCCTTCCCACAGCTGCTAACCACTGCGTGGGCCTTGGTTTCCACGGATGGTGATGCATACGGGCGCCGGGCCTTTGTGTTGTTCACCTGAGGTCTGCCGACCTGCTTCACTTCAGTGTCAAGTTTCGATAGAGTTTAAGGCCAGGCAGGGACTTGTGATGGTGATGGCTGGGTTTGGACTGGGTCTTCAGGGCAGGCGGTCAGTTGCACAGGCCTCGGTGTGTGGTTGGCACTTGAGGTTCTTGCGAGCTAAACTCCTGTTGAGATTTGTACTTGCCTTGAGGAATTCTGGGATTTGTAGTCCTAAATTAACCGCATGGCTTTTAACACTGAGAAACAGCAGGCTGCTCTGATCCCTGCGGCCTGCTTGGAGTCCAGGAAGTTATCCCGTCTTGTAGTCAGAGGAGAGTTTGTCGGGCCTCAGGACTGGCCTTGAGAGTCCTGACTGGGTACTATCTGGGGGCCGGGTATGGCCTGTAACCTACTGTCTTCTTTTGATTGGTAGCATATCTGGGGACCACCAGCTGGCTGAGCCTCAGGGACAGAGACGGCTGCTCCAGCTAAAGGTCAGTTATGATGTACCTGGCCTGTTGGCACTGTTTCGGGGATAAGTCTTGGCTCCCCAACCCCCAGGGAGCTCAGTTAGGCCTCTGGCACTCCCACCTCCTCAAAGCCACGAGGCAGGAGTGTTCTCCTTATGTGACTAGGCACAAGTTCCAAGTGGGGAGGGGACTGGCTCAGCATCCGGAGCCAAAACAGGAATAGAACTGGGAGCTGAGCCTGGAGCAGTTCTGGGCTTTTGGTTCTCCGCATCAACGCAGCCAGCATGCCTATGATTTCTGTGCTGGGCAAAATGTTTCTGTGGCAGCGTGAAGGGCCTGGAGGACGCTGGACTTGTCAGACAAGTCGCAGAGGTGAGACCAGACACCTGGAGGTGATGGAAAGTGAGGAGTAAGGTGCTCAGATGGTGAGAGGAAATTTACTCTGGCTTAGATGTTTGGACCAGGTTGAAACAAGAACCAGACTGGTGCCAGGGAGGGCATCCAGAGAAGGCTTTAGGACAGGGGTGAAATCAGAAAGAAAAACAAAAAATCAGAAAAGAAGAGTAAGGAGCTGCAGAGTAGCCAAGACTGGTGAGAAGAAAGGACCAAGGCGGCAGGCAGGAACCTGTGAAGGTCGGGTTGGCGGGG